GAAAGGCTCTTTTTACATTTGAGTTTACCATGGGCTCTTCGTAGCCATACATGTCAAACATCTAATTGTTTTTGTTCTTTTTGGAAATGATGTCAAACATCTAATTACTTAAATCTTTATGCCAATACCTGGGGTTGGTGTATGCATGTATGTTGTTTTTATAGAGGCATTGCAACCTTGAAATTTGTCTTCATCTTCTCCATTCTATAATCTATCATTTATGTTTGAGAGAAGACAGTTTTTCATAATAAACTTAGGGTTGCGGCGTATGTGATTTATACTTTTGTTCTCTTTACATGTTACTAAATAAGAACGAATTTTGCCAGGCAAATGAAATGCTGCATCATAAGGCAAACTTGAATAGTTATCTAGCCTACCACACGGGACAAAGTCTCGAAAGGATCAATCAGGACACAGACCGTGATTTCTTCATGAGTGCCAAAGAAGCCAAAGAATATGGGCTTATTGATGGAGTCATCATGAACCCTCTGAAAGCTCTTCAACCATTGACAGCTTCAGAAGAAGATAACGCTCAGCCTGTCGCATAACCTTCTTCTGTGGCTGTTAAGATCGGTGACGTGCCTGTTTAATGCGGTAGAAAAGAGAGTGATCAATATACTGCTGAAAAGTGGATAACCATTATGTATCATAGCTGAAGAAATTTTTTGGCGTTAGTGCCCTGGTCAAACCAAAGTTCTGAGACATAGGTTTTGTTTTTTTTTTTTACTCCTTTTGGTACTTCAGTTGATAAATCTATTTATCATATCCCCTTTATTTATTCTTGCTTGCCACTGTTTATGAATGAAACATACATGTTGAAGGTTTGCGTTTCGGAAGTGTTAAATGTTGTTTATGAAGCTCAGTTTTCTCGACTTCTACCTGTTGGAAACGGTCCCTTGTATTATCTAAGCCGCAATTACGGACTGAATTTTGATGTCTTCTTGAAGAAAATCAGCTTAGCTTAGTTCCATGGCTAAAACCTCATTGATCTGTTTGCTTGAGTAAACATTTCATATCCTGCATATTTGAGTTCTCTATATGCTTTCTTTTTCTTTCTTCAGATTATATTTTTACTTATCCATTTGGGACATGTAACGACTCCGAAAATTTCTAAAAAAAAATTTATAATAATTTAACTGCAGAAGTGAAATAAAAAGTTAAAATTACATTCATTACATAATAATTTAAAAGTATTAAACAACATTATGAAATTTATTTTTTGAAAGAAACACGAGAAATAAAGATAACAAATGAAAAATAGGAAATATCTAACATTTAATTGCAATTTTCTTGCGTATCGGGCTATGAAAACTGATTTTCTTGATATGAAATTGTTAAATAAATGATGAGTTACACTATTTCAGTAAGGATAACATATTATATCACCAGTATAGAAACAAATGTTGGTATAAAATCGAAAACCACTAATGGAGTGTTAAATTTAAACCAATACATTTATTAAAAATAAAACTATTTACTATTCACTTAGCATATTAGAATTTATGAAAACAACCTATAAAGACAACAATATCATACAGATCATAACTTCATTAACAATTAGCAACATAGAATATATCATAAATCCATATCCATTAACAATAATCTAATCATAACTGTTTCTCTTTTCACCAGCCTATTAATATCCGTGGAAGTTCATAGGGATGTCTCCGCTACACGTGAACTATTTTCTTTAACAACTTTAATTACAGGGCTGTCTCAATACCCCGTTTGGTATGAGCACCAAAATATTAAACCTCAATACCCCGTCCGGTATGAGGGTGAAGCGGGCCGTCTCCATACTCCGTTCGGTATGAGCGCCAAATTACCAAGTCTCCATACCCCATCTAATATGAGACAACGTTCACGGTAGGGTTCCCTATGTACCTGATTCGTCCACCATCTCCTAGGATATCTAATAAGGCTGCCGTTCCATCTGTTTATTTGATCACACAACTTTCCCGTTTTCCTTTAGTCTCAATTACCAAATCAAACATAATCACATAAACAAATAAACATGCATTAGGTAATACAATCATGTCTCAAATCCCAAGTCAAACAGTAGTCAGGTAAGACAACAATACATACATTTAAATCATAAAATAGATAAATCAGATACTATCATGCTTTTAAACTGTAAAATAAATTAACAGAGAACAATTTTCGGTTCGGCCTCTATTAGCAATCCGTAATTAATTATGCACATCTATTTAATTTGTACAAAATACCGTATTATTATTTATTAAAACTTCAATTCTATAATAGGGAATAGGGTGATGGATCCTTACTCGATTTGACGTCGAAAAGGTAAACGATTTACTGCACTTGCGGGTGGACCTTGGGTTCCCTGAATTTTTCTCCGGGAACTAAAATGCGTTTATAGTACCTACAAATGTTCCAAATAAACCCAAAATCAGTCATAGGGCCCACTCGGCCAATTTCAGAAATCTGGCACGGCGGCTCTGCTGTGCTCCTGCGACGGTGCTGCCACCCGCGGCGGCAGTCCGCCTCGGGTCAGTAGTTTTCAGCCGAATTTACTCGATTTTGCATCGATTCTTGCGAGCAAACACGTTAAAGGGACTCGGTTGGCCAAAAAAATACGAAAAATCAAAACTCACCGATGGCTCTTTTGGCTCACGTTGTGGTTGGGTGTTTTCCTTTGATCAACTTGTAGAGAAGAAAACGGTGATCATAGCGGTGAAAAAATTACGCGGAACGGGAATCGAGAAGGGCCTCATTGGAGGCGGTTTGTGAAATTCCCTGCGGCGGCAGCAGCGGGCTTTGTCGGTATTTTTCGGCCAATTGATCGGTCTTTTCACTCCAATTTGTCCATGGGTGAGCTTAAAATTGAATTTCGTGCAAAAAAAAAGTTTTTACCTTTTTTGGCAGTCGAAAAAGGTTCCGATATAGGGGCGGGTGGCGGCGGTCGGCTCCCCGGCGACTGGGTCGTCTTCTCCGGCGAGTGATTTTGGTGGCTAGGGTTAGGGTTTAGTGTGGATGGGGGTTATTTATACCATATGCTTTTGATCTGGGTCGTCCATCGCGTTTGATATGGACCGTCCGATTGCAATTAAATATGAGTAAATCTAGACCGTTCATCGTGATCTAATCTGGGTCGTCCATCGCGATTCACTCGGGCCATTTGATTGCTGTGTGATATGGTCGTTCGATTGCATTTGGGAGGGAGCACATCTAGGTCGTCCGTGCGCGCAAGAACGGACCTCAGACGTTCGATCGTGTGAACGCAGATCGCCTACGTGCCCCCCCTCCCCTCATGTGGCCTCCCGCATCAGTGCCTCTGCCACTTGGCGCGTTCTGGTTGGTCGAGACTGCTGACCGGGCGTCTGACGTGACAAATTTTTTCTAAATTATGTTTTGACCCTTGATTTCTGATTTTTTTTTCAAAAATATTTCTAAAATTTAATTTTTCACCCCTTTTTCTCAAAATTATTTTCAATTTAATCCTCCATCAATTTTACTCCATTTTTACATTAAATTAAAATAAAATAAAATACAATAAAATAAATAAAATAAAAAAAATTATATTTATTGATTAAAAAAAAAATTTGGTGGATGTTATAACTCTCCCCCACTTAAAGGAAATTTGGTCCTTCAAATTTTGTCTCTCACTTTCAATCAAACAGTTGAGGATATTGGACTCTAAAGTCTTATTATAGCTCCCATGTAGCCTCTCTCGGTGTGTGGTTCTGCCATACGACATTTACAAAGGGGATTTCTCGGTTGCGGAGTAATATGCTCA